CATAACCCAAGTTGCGAATTTGATATGTTAACTTGAGTTGACCCAAAGTCAATTCAATATATTATAATCTTTAATATTAAAAAAATATCATCTTGATTTTTTTAAATCAAATTATGTTTGAATGAGTTGTATAAATTATTTTTAGATTTGCATATTCAAGTGGATTGTATTGTATTAGATTAACTCTCATATAATTTAAATTTTTTTATATTAAAAAAATTAGTAATATCTAAATATTTATTTCATGGTAAAAAAAATTTAATTGGACATATAGTACAGCACAGCGCGAGTAAATTAACTAATACTGAACTAATTAGTTGGCAAATCCATGTGCCATTTTACGATTTTTGGAGAGGTTAATCATGATGTATAAAGCCAGAGTGCTCTAGCCACCATGAAAAAGTTAAGCACTAATTGATCAACCACAGCCACTGAATTATGCTTAATGTTATGAACTTGCAGTTGACCAGAAGCACAGACAAGTTGAGCTTGCCATTGAGTTCAATTATCTTTAAACCTCAACGCCACGTTCTTGATTAATTAATGAAATAAGACAATCAGATATGGACTTTGGACCAAAAGTTTCAACACGTTTTAAGGCTATAACTATAATTAATCATATTAATCTGCTTACCACTAATTCTTTGTGCGTTTGTGTAGTGATCTAAAAGATTGTTAAAAAGGTGAAAGGTTAGGTCACCCTCTTGCATTTTTGTCAATAATTACTTGGCAAATCCCTGTGTGTCATGAAATTACGATTGGCTGCATGCCTTATACTCAAGCTCAGTTCATATATATATATATATATATATATATATATATATATGTATGTATGGTTATTGTTAGGTATCAGTACCCGGCCGGCCAAACAATTCCTATAATTAATAAAATATAAATTGAGATTATTAAATGATTAATGCTATATTCCATAGAATTAGTTTTATGTCTCACGCCAATAGTTTTACTTTTTTTATTCTCAATCTTAAATGATTATACGTGGTATATATATTTATTTAATCAAATTCTTTTTATTACATTCAAATGCTGAGTTTATTAAATAATTAGTGTTTTATATTATTATTTTGTATTTTTATAATTGGTTAAAAGAAGATGTATGCTTTCAAGGAAATTGGAGAGAAGGTATTAAATAAATAAATAAATAAGTGCAAGTATCTAAGATTGTATCTTAATCTAAGAAACTTTGTTATAATTTGTGTGAAAAACATAAAATAAAGTTGATTATCTAAAAAAATAAAATAAAAAATTCAACATGAGAAATAAAACTATAATGAGCCGAGGTAACACGATCGAGGATTTGTACATATGATTCTTACAGCACGCAAATTTTTAATGATTTTGAATTAGCTGCTATGGTTAAGTTATTTTAATCTCCCAGCTTAATCCAAAAACCCCAATTAAAATTAAACTTAAGCACCACGCACCCATATCCAAACTTAAGTATGACTTTTGTCGGCAGTGGCGGAGCCACATAGAAATAAAAGGAGACAAGTGCCCCCTTATTTTTATTTTTTAATATTTTTTATATTAAAATATTAATATAATAATTTAGTGAATGAGTGATAATAGAAAATTGTTAATGCAGCTCATCCACTTTTTAGTGAATGAGTGATAATAGAAAATTGTTATTGCAGCTCATCCACTTTTTTTTTTTTCCTTACTCTAACATGCCAATTTCTCTTTTACTTTCCCTGCCTCTCTCCCATATATATATATATATATGTCCACCTGGTTTCTTTACTGTCTTCAACATACAATTTTTTCTTGTTAAGTATTTGTTTTTTGTTTTTTACTTTTTATTTTAGGTAAATTTTCTTCATCTTTTTTATTTGTTTTATTGTCTAATTTTAATTTTATTCTTTTATAATTAGTTATTAAAAATATTAGGGTTTATGATAATTTAGATGCTTTGATATGAATATATTCAAAATAAATATTTAAATTTGATAATTTAATTAATTAAATATTTTTTCTTATTATAAAAAAATAAATTAATATTCATGCAAAATCACTATTCTTGGTATCTCTTGTATTGATAAAATAGTTTATTAAAATTTAATATTTTTATATAATTTATTTGTACGTAAAATATGAAATAGAAAACATAGTTTTCAAGCATTATTTCTCTTACACAAATACTAGGTATTGTTTCTCAATTAAATATCTAAAAATAATTAAGTATAATTTAATTAATATACTTATTATATGCATATAGATATGCAAGTTTTATTAAACGATTTCAAAATATAAAAACAAAAAAAATAATTATAATGTAAATTTTTATTTTATTTTAAAGTATTTTTAAATTAATTTTACTTGATATGAATTATTATATATATTTTGAATTGATTTTTAATTAATATCTACATAATATAATATTTGTTTTTTTTTTTTTCATTAAAAAAAACTCTAACTTCACTGTTATTTGTTAATGATGTTGATAATGAAAACTAGATGCGTTAGGTTTTAGTAATAAAACTCCATAGATAAATTAATGGAATAAGTAATTATTAAAGAAGTAATATTTCTTCTTGTTTCATAATCATCGTTATCATTAGATTGCTTAATTAAATCATTAATCATTCCTATTGAATTCCAGTTGTGATCACGCCATATAGCACAACAACTGGCGTAAAAAAGGGTCAACTAGAGCCACCCTGAGCCCCAACCACCGCCATTTTTTCTTTCCTTTCAAAACCAAGGAGTGCCGCCTCGAGGGGGGGATTGGAAAATTATGGAAGAAGGAACTGTCTAATGGGGCAATCCACTCGACTCGAAACAAGACTAAAGGCATGTAGGACTATGCCTTTCTTCTGTCTTTCAAGTGCCTTTGGAATGCCTAGTAAAACTCCAGGAACACCAACATCAAGCAGAAAAATCCCACTTTCAGAAACAGTGCCAAGTAATTAGGTCTTTATATATATATATATATATATATATATGTTCTTGTTATTATTATATTATTTTTTAAAATAATAGGGAGTAAGATTTCGTACGTATCCATTTCAATCATAATCATGATTAGCTGAAAATAGAACCCGGTGATGATGACACTCTATATTTTTCTCCGTCTTATCTTCTATTATTAATCAGTCAAACCACTTGATTAAAAATAATAATAATCGAACACTAGGTGTTTTCGTCAAGCAGCCTTCATACTGTATTACAATCTCATTAATTATTGGTGGAGCCAAAGTTTTACTGTGGGATTTTTATTTTTTTTTGTAACATCTATTGCATCAAGATCCAAAATTTCAATCTATCTTACTGTATCACTCAACATTTTTCTTCACAATTTGAAACAAACCCACTACAGATATCACGACTTTAAGTCATGGAATCGATTACAAATTAATGCCCCAACATTTATTTAAAATTTGGGATGTCATTACCAAGATCTCAAATTAAAACCCTATAAGAAAATGAGCCAAGTACGGAGTGATAAGTTCGGAAATAGAAGAACACTAACATTATCCTATAGTTCAAGATCTGTAACCTTTTTTGATTTCCTACTGAGTCAAGAACAAAAATGAAAAACTTATCATGTATATACTTTATTTGATTTTTTGTTGACTGCTATGACTCATAGAGCTTCTAACAACCTCTTATTTTTAATAATTGTTTGTTGCTAGTCTTTCATTTGAAAATAAAGCAGTCAATATGGCTGTTATGTTTATCACTATTCCTTTGTTTAACAAACTAATTTGCTAGAAGACTTTGTGCGCAAATATGATTCCATTATTATGTATAAATTGCAAGGCAATGATCACTAACACTAAGTTTTCTCAGTAGATTTAAATATTAGTCTTTAGTTATCTTTAATATTTTAAAAAATACCAATAAATTGATATCAAAGCGATATTCTTAAAGGACTCGTGAGATATATATATATATATAAACATACATACCAACATTTTTTCTATCATAGATAATCATCTATCTAGCTATAAAGATGACATTGAACTTCAATTTCTTCGATCCCATAAGAAAATTGAAGGTTTTGGCTGCATGAGTGATCATCTAATAATTTAGAAGGCTGATTACTTAGGTAAAGTTCTAAACTTTATAATTTAAATTTAGCTTATATACATATATAATTAATTGAAAAGAGGAAAAGGATCAATGATATGAAGTATGCATCGTCACTTGTTTCACTGATGATATGATTTTTACAAAACATAAAACATATATATAAATCAACATGTCAAAGAAAAATCAACTTACAATGCGACAAAAAATAGACGTGAAAACTTAAATTGAGTTAAGGATCAATCATCTTACCTTTTAAATAGTTTATTATTTGTTCTCTAGTGCTAGTAGTTTAATTACAATATTATTTCTCATACTTACTCAATTTTTTTATTATCAATAGCACAAACAAAAATAAACAACAAACTAGGTTTTGTACGTTAGATTTTTTTTAATTTTTTACATTGATATGAACATTTGCAATCCATCTTTATTATATCATTTTAGTGGCTTAAAGGAATATTATAAGGCTACACACACACATGATTTTAACAATTAAAATAAACAAACACATCCTCTTAAAAAAATACAATCCCATTTAAAATGATGCAACTTTATTTTAAATAAAATTTTAGCAAACATAACTTTTAATTTAAAATCTTTAATAAACACATCTCTAGATTTAAGAATTTCAATCAACACAACTTTTCATCTGGTCCAATACAACCACGAAGGCAATAATATATGCAATCCATCTTTACTATCATTTTAGTGGTGTACAAGGAAGGCTACGGGATTCTTTACCATTTTAAAGGGTCCAATGAGTCCATGAGTGAAGATAACATTTTGGGATGGATGCCATTCCCATCTAGAGAAGACGATGACATCTTTGAGTGAGTGGATGTGGAAGGATAAAATGACCATTTTCTCTATCACAATAATTTCCAAGAAAAACTTCTTTATTATAGGGTGGGAATAAAGAGTTTTCAAAAGACTGAACTCAATGAGTCAACAAAGCAAATCCTTTTCTATATAAAGAGGTCCAAAACAAGCTTCTATCCCTACCATCTCTTCCACAAATCTACAACCATAAAAGCAGCATTGCTCTTACTTAGAAATCTTAGGGCCCTGTAAAGAGCATTATCTAGTGATCAGCCAGTTAGGGAATATTATGGAGCTTAAAAAGGGAGTAGAAACGAGAGGTGTTAATGAAGAGAAATGGGTTCATGATTCCTCGGTGGATCATAAAGGAAGGGTTCCCCTCCGAGCCTCTACTGGTGCGTGGAAAGCATCACTCTTCATCATCGGTAAGGACTAAATATTTTCATGCAATAACGTTGAATAAGAGCTATCAACAAATTAATACACACACTGCTATATATTTTCTGTGTATGCTGTGTTTGGTTACTGATGAGGAAGCTTGACTGGGAGGGGAATAAAGAGTCAAATTCGTTCAATAATATTTTATTTTCTTTGTGTTTATGGAGAATATAGCTTGATCGAGTTTATTTAAAGAAAATTCCATGAATATTACCCCTAGAAAAGGACTATTTTTCCTTCAATGCCGATGGATAACTCTTCATGGGACTCGTGACTTTTCTTCTTGTTATCCCAAAACGAAAAAATGTCTACCCATGCAAGAGAGTGAGGTGTTTAATACAATTTTCGTCGTTACCATGTGCTTTGGGGAAAAATATGTGCTCTTACAAGTGGTCAAACTAGCTGGTAATGTTGCTAAAACCTGAAGTCAGCTAGTGTTTCAGATGGTCATGGAACATGGGCTCATGCTAATACATAGATGAATAATTCTAAAACTCCTGTACAATGGGAGCTAGCAACAAGAATACTTTTGCCACGACTAATTTCTTTTTGGTTCAATATTTGTGTGAGTTTTTGCATGATGAAGCTCATAAATATATTATAATCACAAAGAAATGTCACTAAATATTTTTCTCAAAAGAAAAAGCTAAGTTTCGATAGGTTAACATACATGATTGGATGAGTGTGTGTATCTAAGGTCCTCTATATTTTAGGACATTTTGGTGTGTGTGTGTGTGTAAAAGAAACATTAAAGATAAGCCATACATGTTAGAATTTGGATGATTCCGTTGGTCTTATGCACAAAGTGGAGGGCCATTTGTAGCACTAATCAGTATATCAGTGCTTGGATGCAATGGATATATATAATAGAAAATACGAAGAAAAGAAGAAAAAGATAAGTAAACTCTAGTCTTTGGTAGTTTGCATGGATTGAAATGTATATATTAATTCAAGGAAGAAGAACCGTATCAGATAAATTGAAGTATTTATTTCTTTCTGATAAACGTTAAAGATCCTTTTCTTATATATAAATAACACAAAAATCCTCATCAGTTGTATCTAAAAAAAAAAAATAGACTCCTGAAAAGAACATCTGTTTTTCAGAAAAATAAGTGACAAAACCCATGACCCATCCTATAAAGCTCACACTCAATTCTGTCTTATCATACTTATCCTACAAACAACTTTTTTGGTCTGTGTTGATACGTTCTAATCCTAATTGAAAGTTGAAAAACATCAAAGATTCTCCAAATAGGAGCTTAGATATAGTTTTTTTAAAAAAAAAGAAGAAGAAGAAGAAAAAAGTTATCAGCTTGTACTCGTGTGTTTCTGTTCACTGGAGTGCAATTATTCTTAGTTCGTGGGCATGTTTTTGTCAACATCAGTAAAAGCTTCATACTGTTGATTCTTCCCTTACAATCACAAATAAGAAGAACTTATGCTTTACATGGTCCTACTGCTTTATGAGTCAGTGAATGAATGAATAGCCTGTAATCGCTACAAATTAAGATACGTGGTAAGGTCCACAGTCACGGTACAAATCTTTTTTTTTTCTTCTTCTTCTTGTAAAATCCCATGAGAAGAAAACATAAATTTCATCACTAATGTCAAATGTAGCGATCACAATGGAATAGTCCACGGTGGGTCATGGCCCAGAAATTCTATGATCATATCATAACTTTATTTTTATCTTTTTGGAGTGTGAGAATGAAATTTGAAGTTATTATAATGGGGGTGTTATTGTTTGGCAGCAATTGAATTCAGTGAGAGATTGAGTTACTTCGGAATAGCGACGAGCCTAATCATTTATCTTTCCAAGGTGATGCATCAAGACCTTAAGACAGCAGCTAGGAGTGTAAACTACTGGGGTGGCGTGACTACATTGATGCCATTATTTGGAGGCTTTCTTGCTGATGCTTACTTGGGCCGATTTACCACTGTTTTTGTTTCATCCGTTGTCTATCTTCTGGTAATTTCATTGTCTATATATGCTCGTTTTATTTTATTTTATTTTTTGGAATTAGAAGAAGTGTATAATATATTTAACCCTGAATAGACATCTACAGGAATTAGCTTATCGGACTCCCCGAGCAGTACCATAAGAATCCGTACTGAACATTTTCCCTGTAATTGCACATACTCCCATAGCAATAACATATTTTTATTCCGGCATTTCTTCATATAATCTCACTAAAGGAGGAGCCATTTTCATGGTTACTGTGCCGGCTATTAAAATCAGGTCCGCTTGTCTAAGACTAGATATCCCAAGTCGCACTTCAATAGAATATGCAATGGATTTAATTCTTCTTTCACTGACTTATCACATGGTGATAGAGAGAGATGGACCTTCAAAGGTTGAGGAGGACCATGAAAGCTAAATTTGGGGTTCTTGTCCATTTGATTTCTTGAATGTTTTCGTTGATCCAATATATGGGCCAGGAAGAGCCCATCTAAAAAATTATCGCATCGTTTCGTCTTTGCAAAAGAGAGAAATAATTTAATTCTTGATCCCATAGTTTCTTTCAAACAATTTTATATTATATTTCTTCTGAAAGTTTTATTTTATCTATTTGAACCAACAGGGCTTGATTCTCTTAACAATGTCCGCGTTTGTACCAAGTCTAAAGGCTTGTGAGGCAGCTGTGTGTCCCAAGCCTAGGAAGGTTCATGAAGTAATCTTCTTTCTTGCTATTTACTTGATCTCCGTAGGAACTGGAGGGCACAAACCCTCCTTGGAGAGTTTTGGAGCTGACCAATTTGACGAGAATCACGATGAAGAAAGAAAGAAAAAGATGTCCTACTTCAACTGGTGGAACTTCGGCCTCTGTAGTGGACTTCTGTTTGGTGTGACTGTGGTTGTTTATGTACAAGATCATGTTGGTTGGGGTGCTGGAGATATCATTCTCACAGCAGTTATGGCTTTATCACTAGTTATCTTCATTATAGGAAGGCCATTTTACCGCTATCAGGTGCCAACAGGGAGCCCCTTGACCCCAATGTTGCAGGTTCTGGTAGCTGCCATTAGAAACAGAAACCTGCCATATCCTTCCAATCCTGCAGAATTGTATGAAGTTCCCAAGTCAAGAACGGACAAAGGGAGGCTTCTCTGCCATACCGAAAGTCTCAAGTAAGCAAGTGAACGAACTCATTGACATGATAATTTATATTGAATGGTGTTATGTATCCTTGTAATTAATTTAGATCGTATCATCATCCTAACTGTCTAAACTGCTCGTTTGGCAAATGAATATTACGTATACAGGTTTCTTGACAAGGCGACTATTGTGAGGGATAGGGAAATTGGTGCCGAAAAGCAAAATCCTTGGAGACTAGCAACCGTGACCAAGGTTGAAGAGATGAAGCTTATTCTCAATTTGATCCCAATATGGCTAGCCATGCTACCATTTGGAATTTCTGTTGCCCAAACCGCCACATTCTTCATCAAGCAAGGCACTACGTTGGACCGCAATATTGGTAACGGCTTTCAGATCCCTCCAGCCTCAGTTTACGCACTTGCCGCTATTGGAATGATAGTCTCCGTGACGATTTACGAGAAGATTTTAGTCCCAGTATTACGAAGGGCTACAGGAAATGAGCGAGGCATCAAAATCCTCCAGAGAATTGGCTTTGGAATGCTTTTCTCAATCTCAACAATGGTAGTTTCAGCCTTGGTTGAGAGGAAGAGACTAGGTGTTGTAGCGAAGGATCCAGTGAAGGGTTCACTTTCAATGAGTGTCTTCTGGTTGGCTCCACAATTCATCATCATTGGTGTAGGAGATGCATTTACTCTAGTGGGCTTGCAAGAGTATTTCTATGACCAAGTTCCTGATTCTATGAGAAGCCTAGGCATTGCCTTTTACCTTAGCGTAATTGGAGCTGCAAACTTCCTTAGTAGTCTCCTGATAACAGCTGTTGATCATGTGACTGAGAAAACTGGCAAGAGTTGGTTTGGAAAAGACTTGAACAGTAGCCGCCTAGACAACTTTTACTGGCTTTTAGCCGGCATGACTGCAGCCAACTCAATTCTCTATGTGTTCTTGGCTCGGCGATATCCATACAAAAATGTGCAGAGGAGCGTGGCTGTAGCTGACTGCTATAAGGATGGTCTGGAAGGTTCAATGGCCTGAAATACATTTGCCACTAGCTAGTATATGAAATAAACTTCGATGTTTTAAGGTATACCATGTGAATGTAATAGTATATGATCAAGAGAGTATATTTCATGTTCTTGCTTATTATTAGCTGTGGGAAATTTGCAGATGTTCTTCTGGTGTTTTTCAACTCTTCATCTTCATCAATGTATGTTTGTGCAATCAACAATCGATGATCAAACTCAGTCCAGATAAAGCAAAAGCAGAAGAGTGGCTTTCAGGAACTACAATGAATTATTAATGTCATAAAATAATGACAGATATCAATAACTAGCAACTATTCATGTAACTGCCATTGCCATGAAGCAAAAGGATATTTATTGCCTTGATGGCAATCAGCCGCCAAATATATAATAAAGATAACTTTTTCCCTCTTTTTTTTTTTTTTTTCATGTCATTGAATTGTGTTGCAAAAATAGTTGTTTTTAAAATATATTTTGATTTAAAATATATTAAAATAATATATTTTTATTTTTTTAAAATTTATTTTAACATCAACATATAAAAATAATATAAAAATACCAAAAAAAATAATTTAACGTAAAGAAAGAAAACTTTAATTTTTTTTAAAACACTTTTTAAAACGTGAAAAATAACCAATATTTTATTGGGCATCGAAAACTTAATTTATTTGGGTACCTCTTTAAGAAATGGAAGAGTCCTTGGAGGAATCTTTAGTGATTAAAGCTACAACACCAATTTTAATTTTAGTGTAGATTTAATTGCACATTAAAAAAAATTGTTTTTATATTTCAAAAGTATTTTACACAAAAAAAAAATTTAATTAATATTTTTTTGTAGTTTTATATCATTTTAATGTATTGTTGTAAAAAATAATTTTTTAAAAATAAAAAAATATTATTTTAATATATTTTCAAATAAAAAACAATTTAAAAAAAACTATTATCAAATTCTCAAATATCTTCCACACTAGAATAATATAGCATTGTAAATTCCTTTAAATTAAGCCCCCCCATGTTCTTTTGCCTTCTCTTTCTGGAATTTCTTCATGCTATCCTTGATTTTACATTATGAAGTCCCTTTGACCACTTTTTCTATATCAACAATTACTGCTTTCCAATTGGTTCAAAAATAAATATTAAAAAGTGCAAAAAAGTAGAAGCATATAATCATTTACGGGCAACACCTGGCACACCCATGATCCGCCCGAATGGCATGTCCTCCATTTCCCAAATCGGGTCAAGTGATAAAGCTACAATACACCCACAACTACCATGCGTCGGGGTCTCAATACCCTCTCGATGAAAGCACCATAGTAGGCCCCTCCACACATAACTATCACAGCCGATGAATAATCACCTTCTTTGTGCCAACATCACTGATGGTCGAGCTGATGGGTACTTTTGGGGAAAATCATCCAACGGTGGATATTCTTTCACCACTTTACTAGTTTAGTGATCAAATAAAACTTGATTTCCAACATCACTGATGGTCCAGCTGATGGGTAAACTTGGGGAAAACCATCCAACGGTGGATATTCTTTCACCGCTTTACTAGTTTAGTGATCAAATAAAAACTGATTTCTTATTAAATGATTTTTTTGGGAATGGGGTTGTTTTTTCAAAAAACATTTATGCTAAAATATATTAAAATAATATTTTTTATTTTTTAAAAAATATTTAAAATTAGTGTGCATTAAAACGATTCAAAACATTAAAAAAAATTAATTTTTTTTAATGTTTTGAATCGTTTTAATGCACACTAATTTTAAATATTTTTTAAAAAATATTTAAAATTAGTGTGCATTAAAACGATTCAAAACATTAAAAAAATTGTGGTGGAAATTTTAGGATTAGTTAAACATCTTAATTTTTTTTTTTTGTTATTGGATTTTTTTTCCATTTACATTCTTTTTTTAGAGTAATTTTTCTTTTCATTAATTGTAAAATTAATGCTTTATAAAAGAATAAATAGTGTTTGAATTATAAATAGTGAACTATCTTAATTTTTTTTTCATTTAGGTTATGTTTATTTCCTGAAAAGTGGTTTTTAAAAAATCACTTTATAAACTTTTCTGTGTTTATTTATCATTGGAAAAGTTGATTAATGAAAAACACTTTCCAATCAAAGAAAAATTTGGCTTGATTTTCAAAAAAGTGTTGTCTTAAAAAATTTAGATGGAAAACACTTTTTGAAAATTGTGAAAAATTTAGAAATATCATATTATTTACTGATTATATCAAATTTTATCCTCTTTCTTCATATTTTATTTTTTATTTTTTATATCTGATGTCTATTATTTTGATTATTGTTAATTTTATTTGAGATAATTTATGAAATTATATTTTATTCAATTTCATTCTCATTCAACTTTTTAATTCATAAGATTTGTTTCTTTAATTTCTTCATCTTTTATTTTTTATAACTGATATCTATTATTTTGATTATTGTTAATTTTATTTTGAGATAATTTATGAAATTATATTTTATTCAATTTCATTCTCATTCAACTTTTTAATTCATAAGATTTGTTTCTTATTATTTTAATAAACTTGAAAAAAATAAAATATTAAGAAGTTATTTTCCAGCTTATTTTACATGACATAACCAAACACTAGAAGATGTTTTCCAACTTATTTTTCATTACACTACCAAACATCAAAAAATAATTTACTTTTCTGAAATTCACTTTCTAAAAGAAAACTACTTTCCAGCAAACAAACGGGGCTTTAAATCCTTCTCTCTGTTTTTTTTTTAGTTTTTTCATTTAAATTCTATTTTTATTAAGTTTTCTTGCTTTTCCTTTAACAATTGTATTTCAATTTCGCAAACTTAATGCTTTATGAATTATGAAATGATGTTCTGAATCATGAACACACAAGATAATAGTTACTCATAATATTTGAATTCAAGAAATATTAAATAAAATAATAAAAATTCAATATAAAAGAAAGACACAACCCATTAGGGGTTATAATAGTTATCTATAATGTCTTTTTTTTTCTTTTTCTTTAATTTTTCTTTATTAATTGGTTTTTTTTTTAAATTTAACTCTTTTAAATTAAGTGAGCTTGAGATTGAGTTTGTTGTTTCATTTTGGTTTATTTTAAGAACTCACTTGTAATAGTTATCTATAATGTCTTTTTTTTTTATTTTTCTTTATTACTTATTTTTTTTTTAATTTAACTCTTTTAAATTAAGTGAGCGAGATTGAGTTTGTTGTTTCATTGTGGTTTATTTTAAGAACTCACTTGTTTTTAATGGCTTTAGATCCTTTTGTTAAATTAAACAATTTTCAAACTTAGTTTGATTTCATATATTCTGTTTTTTTTTTCACATGGCTTTAATTCAATTTTCAGCAAAGCATATAAAAATTTCATTTATATTTCTTGACTTCTTTTCATCATGTGGCGTAATAATAATTGCTTTTTCTTTGATTTTAAAATAATAATAAAAATACTATAATGACCAATTTGTTATAATTGAAATTGATTCATTAAGAAACTAATGGTAATGTTACTCTCACTTGAATCAATAATCATTGATGTATTCATCATATGTAGCTATTGAGTTTTAATTAAAATTAATTTATCATTTTTTAAATTACTTTCACTCAAAAATAAGTATATTTGTGTTGGGTCTTACTGCCATTAAAATCCAATAGAGTTAAATCTTGTTATTTAATAAGATTTAATAAAATTAGGCTCTACTCTAATAGAGTTTGGCCCGCCCTTTTTTAGCATAATTTAATATCATTAAGCTATGTTATTTATCAAAATTTAACATAGTTGGATTGTCATCAAACCTAAAATATTTTATATATATTTTATACTTAAAAAAAATTATAACATGTTGAGCAGAACATATTAATATACGGTATAGCACAAACCAATATGCTAGTGTGTGTGTCTATATATATATATATATATATTTATATAAGCGTAGAAAGCCTCTGTCTTTGGCAAAACTCTTTGTTCAAACCATCGCATATACCAAAAAATATTCCACCCGCCGCTAAAAGTCTAACTGCACAAACCCCTCTAATCATGTGCCGAAAATAGCGCACGCTCTCATTAGGGTTTTACTCTCTCTGCTTTCTGCTCTGGAACTAACTACACAAGGGTTTCTCTTCGCCACCATCACCACCACGACTTTCCCTTTCCTCACATTTGCACAACACTCAAACTCAACCCCCATCTCATGTTACACAATCCCAAAGATCACCAAATCTATTCTATTTATTTAAATAGTTAATACAGAATATGAACATGGAAGCTAGGGTTGGTGCGGTTGTTGAGGGAGGGCAGAGAGCACTTAATTCTGCCGCAGCCGCCGCCCATGGAAGCATTTTGGATGCAGGTGCCAGGAGATTCTTGCAGCAACAACATAACAATAGTCACCAACAACATTCACAGCTAGGAACTATCCAACAATTGCTTGCTGGTGGTATCGCTGGTGCTTTTAGTAAGACTTGCACGGCTCCTCTCGCACGACTTACTATCCTCTTTCAGGTTTTTATATTTTTTTCCTATTATTTTGTTTTGGAATTATGGGTTTTGGGGTTTAGCTGGAAAGGGTTAATTTGGTTCTGTTTCGGATTTCAATGCAAAATTGGTATGTGATTAGTTTCTGCTGAATTTTTTTTTCAAATCCCTTTCCAGTTGGATGGGAGTTCTGAATATGAATTAGATGTCTGATAATGCCCCTGAATTTTGATTTTTTTATTTAAAAAAGAAAGAAAGAAAGAAGAGCTTTTTGATGTGTCCAATGTATTTTGTTACAAAAGGAGCTCGAGCAGTTTGCTCACTTCCAATTCTAGCTCTGTACGAGTTTCATAAGAGGACTAACGTTGCTTTCTACTTTGCTGATGACAATAATTTACTGGATTGGTTGCTCTTTTATGCTGTCCATATTCACATCAAATGCTTATCCGACTGCCTTTTACTTCGTCGTTCTTCTAGGTTCAAGGTATGCACTCTGATGTTACAGCATTGAGCAAGGCTAGCATATGGCGGGAGGCGTCTCGTGTTATGAATGAAGAAGGGTTTAGGGCATTTTGGAAAGGCAATCTAGTGACTATTGCACACCGCCTTCCTTATTCTTCAGTCAGCTTCTATGCTTATGAACGTTACAAGAGTGTATGTGCATCCAATTTCTTTCTTCAAA